CACGACCATTCAGACCAATGTGTTTCCAGCCAAGGGAATGATGAACGCATTAGCCAGCATCTTAATATCAGCACTACTCATGCAGAGCGGCCTGTTGGCAGACGGCTGACGAATAGGTGGCGCAGCCAGGCTGGTCTCTTGGGTCAACACCTCTCGGGGGAAAGACAACGAAGGCCCCACCTCATGTCGCCGGGAAGGGCGCGCGCTTGCTCATTGAAAGACACAAGGTAAACACTATGAAGCATCCTCGAACGTCTTTCGAATTTTCCAAACCGAATGCGACATGCAATCGGGGCCAGGCATGTTGCGACGACGTTTAAGAGGGAGCTCATGCCAGATGCTTCAGGGGGAGGCCAGCCCTAATCCAGAGGGCCAGAGAGAACCTGGACGAACGGGTTGAATTCTTTCCAGGGGGAGGAATCGACCGAAGGGGACCAGAGTATGCCAGGCCAAAAACCACGGAGGGCAACTGCGGAGGCCTCGGTTGAGGAACGTGGACGGTAAGTGCGCTTGCTGAATTTACTCCGTAACTCCTGCCGTCGACGGTCCCGGGCAATAAGTTCACGCTTGCGGTCAACGTCAAACTCTTTGCGATGAGTCGCCCCCTCCTGGTCCGTGCATATTTTGTCATGCAAAACGCGAACATGCTGACGTAGACCGCCTAAATGCACGCGTTCGGTAAGATCAGCAATAACATGAACGCGGAACCGAGGATCGCACTCGACTGCTTGGCGGGGCCGCCGCGCGTGCCCGAGACGGTGATCCCGAAACGCAGCAAGCGACAAATGATGTTCATCTTGGCGCGCAGCTGCTTGGCGAGTTCCTAGCGCAGCACGCGCTGCAGAGGCGGCCTCGAAGGAATGATTCATAGCCGCCTGGAGCTAAGGGCTTCCCACGACGGCGAAATTTCATTCAAGAGCCCATCCAGGGCAAAATGGAATTCAGGCAAGGATGCAATCCAAGGCAAGATGTCAGGAGGACGAGACGACGGAGAGAGCAGCTCCAGGGGAGCCATCAGTGGAACGCGGCCACTGGCCATGAAGGCCGTGAAAAACCTCAGGGCCGCAGCATGAGCCGCGACATCCCGGAAGAGGGCAGGGGGGGGGGAGGCGCGCAGACGATCGATCTCCTGGAAGTGTCATGGGCAGTTTTCTATGCACCCTTTCGCGCGCCCCGGTCCTGGAAGAGCTCGGTGGGGCAGGGGGGGGGCTTGCGAAATACTTCACAGTGCGAGGTGTCTCCAGCAGGCCCCCGTCGCCTCTGGATCTCTCCTCCTTCTCAAGAACAAAATTGAAGCCGCCCATCGGGGCGCAGTGGGCCGCGCGGTCGCTGCCGCCGGGCGCGCGCGGGTTAAAGTCGGACGGCGACGTGCAAAGGGCACCAGTAAATAACAACACGGGCCATATGTTGGGGAGGTGAATATCACATGCAATTCTCCTTGGGCTCCAACAACAAAACACTCTTGAGAATCCTACCCGCGATGATCGTCTTATGCCGTATTTCGTGGAACGCGCAGGCGAAGGCGGGAGAAATGGCAGTGCCATCTCCGCCTTCACGGTTGGAACCCTCGAAAAACGAGTAGCCGAACTTGCGCGCGCGGAGCTCGCGCTCCAATTCATTGATGTCACCGGTATGACCGTGTCTCTTGTGTAGCAGCTATGTCGTACTTCCTACGCAATGCGGTGAATTTGAAATCTTTCTCATATGCGCGAGCGTACTGGGAGCGGACCGCGCCCGCGCGCGTTTCGCAGTTCCATGTGCGGATCGAGAGGGGCGGAGATGGCATGAACAACGACATCGTATTCTCTGGACAAGCGCACTCATCATAAGGGGACGAGGGGAACAGAGGGAAACTGCCTGCAGCGCTGGAGCAATCAGGTTCAGCGCCGAAAGGGCCGACAAAGCTGAGTCTGCGCAGCCAGCCCAAGAGCGCCTGCGTGCTGCGCGATGCCAAACTCCACAGGTGTGTCACGAATCACCTCGATCTCGACGGCTCCAGTGTCGCTGACCGACATGTTGACTGCAAGCGCCGAGCCGCGCACTCCGCGAGCGATGTGCACGCAACCGTCAACCCCAGAGCTCCCGACCTCATGGCCTCGAGTTTTCAGCAAGTCAGTAGAAGGTTGCGCACTCTGCCTAGCGAAAGAGCAAGCTGGCGACCCTGGAAGTCGAGGTCACGGCGGGTCCTCAGCGCGAGCTATAAGGAGGGTGGCGAAGGCCAGGGAACGTCCAGGAACGCCGCCAACGCGGTCTCGAAGTGGAAGGTCTCATACTCGCTCATGTCGAAAGCACGGGCGACGATCTTCGTCGCCTCCGCTGATAGCGCGAGGGTGTTCAGGCGGGCGTCCCCGATGGCGCGCAGGTCGTTCGCCAGCATGCTGCGTGGGGACCCCAGCAGCGCCAGCTTGCATGTCTGGTCCTGGGCGCTCTGGACGGGCTGACACCTGGGCACGTCTGGCCGCGAGCTCCTCGGGGTAGGCGTCGAGAGGCCGTCAGCAATCTGCTGCGAGATTCTGGCGATTAAAGAGCTCCATCAGCGTGGCCCCAGTGGTCGCAACCTTGGACTGGAGGGCATGGCCAGCTGGGCCCATAACTTCATCTTTGCCATGCGTGCCTACGGACGCATTGTCAATGGAGTCCTTCCTCAACTCTTCCATCCTAAGGTCCATCGGTTCAAGGAAAAGGGAACACATGTCTATAATTCTTGGCGACGGGAGTATTACTCACGGCTGAGGATAATCATTTGGTCAGTAAGAACGGCACAAAAGGTCAACAGACGTTTTGCAAACTTGTTTGATGGTGTTCATGTCCATCGACGGGATGGCAACAAGCTGGGATAGCGACTCCACGTTGCCAGTGAATTGGTCGATTGTCATGCCAGTCGATCGGCAGGGAGGGGAGGCTGTTGATTCGGACGACGATCGGTCACCACGGCGACCAAGAGATCTCGAGTGCGAACGGGTAGGAGAGCTGCAATCTGCTTCGCGACGGCGAGCCCTTCCGCCGCTGCGCCTCTCTTCATTCACGTGGTCTTCACAAGACTTTGCGAATACCTTTGCGGCCCATCGCTGCACTGGTGTGAGGGAAGCCTGTGTACAGGGAGAGCTCCGAGAAGGCGCGGTACACAACATGTGCACGCTGTGCGTGGCCGAAAAGAAAGACTCAGGACCTGGCTCAGCAGCCACCTGTGGTCCAGAGAGGAACAGCGCCTGCGCTACCTCGAGAAATGTATTACCAGAGCCAAGAAATGGCTACGGACAAAAATTGAAAGAGGTGTGCTGACATGGGCGGGGGGACGCTATGCAGCACCACCCCCTGGCCATCGGGGGCCCCCATGAGGCTTCGGTGGAGCCTCCAATGGGGCCACGAAACATGTGAGTGGTGTGCCGGGACAATCCCTGCGGGGGCTTCGGTGGAGCTCCCCATGAAGCCACCAAGCGTGTGAGGGGTGTGCCAAAATTGTGGGAGGTACTGCATGCAATACCACTCCCTGGGGACTTCGGTGGAGCTCCACACGGAGCCACGCAACGTGTGAGGGGTGTGCCGAACTGGCTGGGGGACCGCATGCACTATCACTCCCAGGGGTCTTCGGTGGAGCTCCCTGAGGCCACGAAACGTGCGAGGGGTGTGTCGAAATAGTAGGAGGCACTGCCTGCAATACTTCCTCCTGGCGGCTTCGGCGGAGCTCCCCATGGGGCCACGAGAATTGTAAGGAATGTACCGAACTGGGCATGCGGAGGGCAGAGGAAGGAGGAGGGGGATCAGGAGGAAGGAAAGGGACGCCAGCGCGGCTGATTCAAACCGAGGACCGAACTCACAAGGAAGGGCTGTGCAGCAGCAGCAGCAGCAGTAGGAGCAATAGGCTGAATGATCGAGGCTAAGTTCCACGGTCAGGGGGACATCTCAAGCCTCGCCTCACCAGTCCCCGACGCACCCGCCCCAGGAGTAGGCGCGCAGAGTCTCTGGGGGGCCTCGCTCGACAGGAGGGCGATCATGTCACCACGAAATGCCCAATCTACAGGGCAGTTTTAAATGCATCGGATGTTTAAATATAGGATTTCAAAACATGAATAATTCATTAATAAATTTATGCATGAACTCATCTTTGTTTTAATACTAAATCCCTGCAGTTTTTAATACATAAACCGCACGCGGAGCATGTATTAAAAACGGCACTGTATGTTTGTTGACAGATACCGAAACGTGAGTTGGTTAGTTCGTCTTGAGAACTCACATCGTACTGACCCCCAGCCGCACGAGGGCACGGGCCCACTAACCGGCGCCCGATTTCTGTCTCCAAAAAATCCAGCGGCGAACTCTAAACACGCGCCCTCGCGCGGGACACCCTCACAAAACTGGCCCTCCCCAAGGAGGCCCTCAGAGGGCCCCCCCTGTTTCCGTTTCGGGGCGATCTGGCGACGAATTCCCAACCAGCGTCCTCGCGCGCGAGATACCCTCAAAAAACACGCCCCCAAAGCCTCCACAAGGAAGCCCTCAGGCCCTGTTTCCAGGAAATCCGGGAAATCTGGCGACGAATTCCGAACCGGCGCGCTCGCGTGGGACGTCCTCAAAAGGCCAACCCCAACAGCGCCCCCGGGGATCTGCCTGCGCGCGTCGGTGCGCGCTGGGACGTACTGGGCGTATCCCAGTCCGGGGCTCTCGCTCGAGATATCTTCGCAGAAGTCGAGACAGCCTTTTCCCAATCTAGGAATCCCGCTCGAGACACCCTCACAAAGTGGCCAAATCGCCCCCCCGAGGGAGGCCCCCGAGGACGCTGACAAGCATGAGCAGGGAGGAATATGTAGGATACCGGAGGAGGAGGAGGAGGACGACGACGACGAGACGGAGGAGGAAGAGGAGGAGGAGGAAAGTTGGAGGTGGATGAGGAGGAGGAGGCGGAGGAACGACCTCCAGGGACCTCACGGGATTTCCTGGGAGAATGTGGAGGAGAAGGTGGAGGTTGCCAGCATGGGAGCGATAGCGACTGGATGCCACCGCCTTTCGCTCATTCTCTTCTCGCCCACAATCGCATGCCTCCTGTCCTACATACAGAAACTCCCGATCAACCGCAGAGCGGCCGGCTAGTATATCGAAGTGCAAGGCCAGGAACCCGAGTCGACGGCGCAGCGCACGGGCGCACACACCGCCAATGACATGTCGACAGGGTGTGGTCGCGCAAGCGGTCTCGCCTCCGATCGCCACTGAACAGTTTTTTCTTCTGGGGGAGGGGCAGCGTGGATGCCAAAGGGCGGCTGTCACGCGTACCATCTGCTAAAAAACCCTGGCGCATGCCAGAAGCACAAAAGCACCGGCCAAAAGAGGAGGGGCGAGGCAGGGCGAAAATGCGTGCAGGCACTCGCACCTGGAAGTGAGGATGAGAGGACACCAACGATCCGTCTACGCTGGTCCTGACCAGGCCAATACGTGGCCGTGGGTCGATGAACTCGCCCTGCTGGCCCAGCCTCGAGCAAGAGATCGGCCTGACCGGGATCGGTGTCCGTGGACGGCTGGCGTCCTCCGACAAGGAGCAGCGCGCGAGGGTCTGCGACGGAGTGGAGGGAGGTGGCGGCTGGCCCGGGGAACTCTTCCTCCTCCTCCTTCTCCTCATCCTCCTCACTTCTCCCCCTCTCCTCCTCAGTCCTCCTCCTCCTCCTCCTCAGTCCTCCTCAGTCCTCCTCCTCCTCCTCCTCCTCCTCCTCCTCCTCCTCCTCAGTCCTCCTCCTCCTCCTCCTCCTCCTCCTCCTCCTCCTCCTCCTCCCTCTCCTCCTCCTCCTCCTCCTCCCCTTCATCCTCCTCACTTCTTAGGGGGCCACATGCGAACCCTACCCCTGCCCCCCACGATTTCTGGGAGGGAGGGTGGGGTTCACTCCGCTCGGGAGCTCCCGAGCAAAGTGAACCCCACCCTGCCCATTAGAAATCGTGGGGGGGTAGGGGTAGGGGTCGCATGCGTCCCCCTACTTCTCCTCCCCATCACTCCTCACAGAAAGAAGAGGACCTTCACGACGGCAGCAAAGAAGACCAGCGTCAGGAGGCCGCCCACGGGGACCAGCGTCTCCAGCAGGTCGGAGGCGGTCTGCTTCGCCTCTCTCTCGTTCGTGGCCCGGTTGGCCTCTCGGGCAGCATCCGCGAGGACGGAGTCTGGGAGCTCCAGCAGGTCGGCTGGGTCCACCGGGCCCCAGCTTGGCATCGAGCCCAACAGTGCCGCTTCCAGCTGTCGATTCTCGCCGAGGTCCACGGGAGCCCTGTCGACAGGGTTCCAGTACACTCCGAGGCTGCCGATGTCCTGCATGGCGTCCTCGAGCCCGCTGGCCTCCTCGCTGCTCAGCGCGACGCCGAGCGCGCCCAGGTTCTCCTTCATCCTGATCGGATCGATGCTCTTGGGAATCACCTGGAAGCCACGGCTCAGGCCCCACTGCAGCAGCACCTGGCCGACAGGGCGCCCCAAGGCGGCGGCCAGCTCGACCAACGCCCCGTGGGCAAGGGCTGCCTCCTTGCCAGAGAGCAGCGAGCCGTACGCCTGCTCGGATTAGCGGTAGTATCGCGAGGCAATGAATCCAGAGGCAAGCGGAGAGCACCAGAGAGCCCCCGAAGTGTCCAGAGTGCTTTCCAGCGGTGCGCCTGCGTGTCGTCTAAGAATGCTAGAAACATGTGATTACTGCGGCGCCTCCCAAACATTGCCCCCACACGTTACCACTAATCCGACCTGCACCAGTATGCCGTGCCGCCGACAATACTCCACGAGCGCCTCACGCTCCGGATAGACAATGGGGTGCATCTCGATCTGGTTCACTGCCGGTGGTGGCCTGCCAGACCTTCGGAGAGCTTCCAAATGCTTGATGCCGAAGTTGGCCACGCCCACGGAGCGGGTAACGCCGGCCTCCCGCAAGCGCAACAGAGCGTCGTAGGTCTCCACCATCCTCTGCCCGGGCGAGTGCATGAGGAGTAGGTCCGTATACTCCAAGCCCAACTGCTCGACGCTCGCTCTGCCAGCCCTCTGGGCATCCTCGAAGCCGTGGGAATCGTCCCAGACCTTGGTGGCCACGAACACGCTTTCCCGCGGCAGGCCAGAATCTCGGATGGCCTGGCCAACATCCCTCTCGTTCTTGTAGACCTGCGCCGTGTCGACCATGCGGTAGCCTGCCTCGAGGGCCGCCGCCACGGCCCGGCGGGTCTGCTCGCCAGGCTGGACGCGGTAGGTCCCGAAGCCGATCTTCGGCATCCGCACCCCGTCGCTCAGGGTGTACGCGGGCACCTCCGGCCAGAGCGCCCCCTGGCCAGGCGGCGCGGCGGCCCTCGGAGTCGCCGCCACGGCAGCCAGGCCGGCGGCGGGCCCGCCGTGAGCGCCTCGGAGGCCCTGCTCCGGAGAGCACCGCGGCCCCGGGCAGCGCCTCGGCAGCGAGCCCACGACCAGGCACGCGGCGAGGGCCACCAGCAGCGCCCGCCGGCGCGCGGCGCCGCGCCCGCAGGCGCGGCTGGCCCAGGCAGATCGCCCTGGGGAGGGCATGCTGCAAATCAGCTCGAGCCAGAACGGTCGCCATGGAGGTTTCAGGGCATCAGCACTGGACCTGCCGCGCAGAAGACGTTGGCGTGACCAGCGCCGCTTCCTGCCTTCGTGGTCGGCCGAGGCGGTCAAGGATCGGCGTCGCCTGGACAGCTCGCCGGTAGTCGACTCTGAAAACGGACATCTGGCCTCGAATCATCCTTGGGCTGTGGCAGAAACACGCCAGACCCCTCTAAATCCTTTTGCGCGCGCCCTCTCTCGAATGCTAGATGGGCTCCTGCCTTGCGGACAATATTTCGATGGTGGCAGCGGCAACATGTATGTGCTCTGTCTAACCGAAACGGCCTACTAGCCCCTTAGGTACTCGAACGACATCTCCAATGGAGAGAAACGCGTGCACGAGAAGGGATGGTTGAGGAGGAGGAGGAGGAGGACGACGACGACGACGGAGAATTGGAGGACTAGGATGCCTTCTAAAGATCTTAGCCTGGCGAAGAACCTAACATTTCGCAATGCCACGCAATGTTGGCAATGAACCTCTCTCTCTCTATATATATATATACACACATATGCGCGATCCGTGTGAGGGATGCGCCTGCATGGGGGGGGGGGGGGGCACATGCAAACCTTCCTGCTGGGGCCGTAGGTGGAGCGCCTCAGGGGGCACGACCCGTGCGAGGGCTGTGCCGAACTGGGCGGAGTGCCGCGTGCGGACACTGCCTCTGGCACGGGACCTGGAGCCCCATCATGGGGCCACGATCCTCCTCCGCCTCCTCCTCCTCCTCCTCCTCCTCCTCCTCCTCCTCCTACCCCTCCTCCTCCTCCTCCTCCTCCTCCTCCTCCTCCGGCATCCTGCATATTCCTCCCTGCTCATGCTAGTTTGCATTATTTGAGTAGCGGCATTATTTATATTTCCCCCACTCGCGCGCGCGACCCCCATCGCTCGAGGCGCCCATGCCTCGAGGGCAATGATTAATATTAGTCCCGAACGCCGCGTGGAATTAAAAAATTCCACTGAGCACTGGAAAGAAGACTGGAGGGGACGTGGAATGGCACAGGGAACTCCAAGGCCTCGAGGAGGACCTCCGTGCTCAGTATGCAGAGGCGGCTGCGCTGGCGGTCTTCCCCGAGAAGGAGAAGGCAGACTTTTGGGCAGGGCCACAGGAGTCCGAAATCCTTCTTGTCTCCAGGGGTGGCCCCCACTCCCTCCGTACTCCTAGTCCCGCAGTTGCGTATTGCGTCGACATGAGGCGGCCGGGGGTCCGGGCGGGGGCCCCTGCCGGAGAGGTCCCCGAAAGGAGCCTCTCCCCAGGCTTTCCCCTCCTCTTCCCCACCGCGTTCGCTTTTCGGGCAAAGGCGCGGTCCCTTTTGCGCAGGCAGGGGATCGGAGGCGGGCCGGAGCGGGCCGGGCAGCCGTGGGCTGCCCCCCCGCCCTCCCCCTCCCCCCCTGCACGCATGACTGAGCCCGCCCTTTCCCTGGGCGGACGTCGCGGAGTCGAAGCAGTCGCCGTCCCGGCCCTGCAACTCTCTGCCAAAGGACCCGAGCCCGAGGGCCCAAAATACAATCCTCTACGGGAGGACACCTACCTACCTACCCGCGAGATGGCATCCCAAGATGGGCCCCCGCCCGCCGTGCGGACTTCCCTTCTGGGGCCACGGGCGGAGCTCCCATCTGGGGCCGCAGTCCGCGCGAGCAGTGCACCAAAATATGCGGGCGGGAGCCGCGTGTGGACGCGTCCACCGGGGCCCCCAGGGGAGCTCCCAATGGCGGCAAGATCCTCGCGAGGGACGTGGCGAAATGGGCGGGGAGGCCGCCATGCAACACAGCCCCCACTTTGGGCTGCGGTGGAGCACCCCACGGGGCCACGGAGCGTGCGATGGGTGTGCCGGAGTGGCTGAGGGACCGCATGCAGTACCACTTCGGTGGAGTTCCCCATGGGGCTAAGAGGTGTGCGAGAGGTGTACCGAAAATGGTCAGGGGGACCGCATGCAGTACCACTCCTCCTCCTCCTCCTCCTCCTCCTCCTCCTCCTCCTCCTCCTCCTCCCCCTCTTCCTCCTCCTCCTCCTCCTCCTCCTCCTCCTCCTCCTCCTCCTCCTCCTCCTCCTCCGCCATCGCCTTGTTGCCGCTCCTCTTCGGATATTTCTCCTCCTCCTCCTCCTCCTTCTCCTCCTCTGCTGCTCTCCTCTCTTATCAGGGGGGAGCAGGAGGATGAGGAGGAAGGTGGTTGAGGATGGGGGAGGAGGAGGAAGAGGAGGAGGAGGAGGAGGAGGAGGAGGAGGAGGAGGAGGAGGGGTTCTGGATTGCGACGCTTTTTTCAGCTGTGATCCTGTCAGCAAAACCGGGCACGCAGCTCGCACAATATTCGTGAGGCTCACGTACTCGTGTTGGGGCGCCATGGGTGACAGCACAGTACAGCAGCAAGGTAATGGCACGGTGTCAGTCGCGGCAACATCGACTCCTGTGGTAAACATTGAATTGTCTTGTGCGGTCTATGGATTACCTGAGTGTAAGTAAGGTTATCTTAGGCCCCCAGACGGCACGAAACAAGACGAAGGCACAAACAGTGCGGCTATCCATACGCCAGGGGCAAGGGCAGGAGTGAGTTCGGCTGCTCTCTAAAACGAGCCAAAGCGGCGCGTTCCCTGGCAAGAGGTTTCTGAGGACCGATGGTGTCTCATACTGCACAAGAGTGATGGGAACATGCAGAACAAGTGGCTTCATTCGGTGCTCGTGTGACTCTTGCGGGCAGCCCTGCCGCGCATCTATGTGCGGCATATTGTGACTAAGCGCAGCACCTGCATGGACAAACTATTTTTCCAGCGCGCGAGATTCGTTTTGTCTTCGTTTCCCAGAACAAAGAGGTTGCATTTGAGACGCGTCTTTTTCCTCATCTGTGGTTTCATTTTGCTCTGGGACCTGAATGGACAAACCATCTTCGTTCGACTCCCTGCAAGCGCGGCAACGGAACCACCGAGGCGCAGAGACGGGCACCCCAAACGGACCCACCGAGCGATTGATACTGGTGGCTCAACATGCTCGTGCTGAAATGGCAACAGTTCTGGCCATTGGCGGGGTGACTGATGGCCACAGGTCCACGGCTCCACCGCCCCCTGGCAGGGAACGGCCACCCCGCGGACCGCGATGGGCGCCCCCACCCACGGGAGCCAACAGGCGGGTCGCTTCGGCACGAACCCGCGCCCCACGTCCACTATAGCACCCCGCCGGGCCATAGTCCGAGCACGCGCGCTGCCGTCGTTAGCCCGGCCAGGACGAGTTGTCTTCACCCATCGCCAGCACGAGCGACAGACGGCGGATAACAACACCATCGGTCATCTGCACGTCATGCAGCCCTCAACATCCAATGCAGCGCCAGGCGAAGGCGCGCGGAGGGAGGGACGAGAACCTGCGGGCGCAGCATCGCAGGTCACTCGCAAAAGGGGGGCCTCGCGCGTATGATGCGCAACCGGGTGCACCGTTACCAGCTGCCGTGGTCACGTGGGCCCCTGGCAAGAGCAAAGAGAGGCATGCTGCTGGCAAGCAGCTGTCGAGGAGCTGGCGGGCTGGGAAGTGGTCACCTGGCACAGTGGGGAGCGAGCGGCCGCGGCGGCGGCGGTGGCAACTTCGCCAGACGGCCGCTCGCCCCCTGCGCATCGATACCCGGGATACTCGATACGACGTCCACTCTAGCACCCTGGCAGACAGAGGCCTGCACCAAACTCGGGAAGTGAGCTCCAGGGGGCAGCTTCTATCAAACGCCTCTGTCTGTCAGCAGCCGCCCGCGCGGCGCGACGCTGCCTGGCAGTCTGACGACTGTGCGTCATTCGCTTCCTGATCGCATTCGATCGGAGAACATGTGAGGGAAGGGGCAGTGGAAACGCCACTGTGGGCCTGACACCTGTCTGCGCTATCTCCGAGCGTTGCGAAAGTCCTGACAAGTCGAACGCGTCTACGCACTCCTGCTCCCCATCTGCCCTGGGGGGACACTGGGCCGCGGGGTGGCCATGGGATCGGCCACCAAACCCTGAGGCGTAGCAGGGCCCTCGACTGTCGGGGGCCCTGAAAAAACATGGAACTGGGTCGGTCCCGCGAGTTCCGTGGGACCTCGGAGCAACATCTGGGGCCCACCCTTCGTCAGCACTGTGGCACGGATCCCAGGAAACGAAAAAACGCAGCAGCGTCAGCTACGTCTGTATCCGATTGTTCCCACATTGGAGAGAGCGTGATCCACCGCCGCTTTACTGTGGAAAATTGCCAACCTTTTCCTCCGGAACCCGGGGGTCTCCCCCCCCCCCTCCGAAAATCCCCCCCCCCCCCTGCGCCCCCCCCCCCCCCCCCCCCCCTTCCCCCGGCAAACCCCCCCCCCTCCCTAACCCCTCCCCCCCCCCCCCCCCTCCCGCTCGAAAACCGGGGGGGGTCACTACCGGTTCGAACCCCTCCCCCCCCCCCCCCCCCCTCCGGATCCGGAAAACCGGGGGGGGTCACTACCGGTTCGAACCCCCCCCCCCCCTCCCCCCCCCCCCCCCCCCCCCCCCCCCTACTCACCGCCAGCAAACGACTCCCGGTCCCCACCACCGTCCGCATCACATCCCCCACTGGTGTTCCCAGCACCACTGTCCTCACCACCGCTGTCCCCACTGGTTCCACCACCGCCCCTACTGTCCCCACCAGTGGCCCCACCACTGTCGCACTGTCCCCGCTGTCCCCAGAACTGTTCCCACCACGGTTCCACTCTCCCCACTGTCTCCACGGCCCCAACCACTGCCCGACTATCCCCACTGTCCCCACTGTCCCACTGACTCCTCCGCTGTCCCACTGAGCTGTCCCACTGTTCCCACCACTGTCCCCACTGTCCCCACCACTGTCCCCACTGTACCTCTGTCCCATTGTCCCACCGCCGTCCTCGCCACCGCCTTCACCACTGTCCCCACCACCATTGTACCCTCCACTGTCCCACTGTTTCCACCTCGTTCCCATTGTCCCCACACCACTGTCCCCACCACCACCGTCACCACCA